TTTTTATAATGAATGTAATTATTTTATTTAATGAATGTAATTTTTTATAATGAATGTAATTTTTTAATGAACTATTCTCGTTTCAATTCTTTTAAATAATTAAATATTTAAATTTTATTAATTTAATTTTAGAAGATGTGTATTTAAAATGTAAAAAATGAAGCTTTGAAGCCTCAGTTTGAAGCCCCGGAGCTTCAAATTTATTTCCACTGAAACTGTGAGGTAAGTTAAAACTGACGTGGCAGAGAGAAGATTTGAAGCCTCGGGGCTTCACGAGTATTTCCAGTGCCCTTATATGTGCAGTGGATGCATAATTGCATACTCCCTCCTTTAAAGTCGTTCCCTTATTAACTTTTTGGAAAATCAAGGGAGAGATATTTTGGTGTTGACTTTTCAAAAATATCCTTAATGTGTTAGGTAAATGTAAGATGTGATTGATAGATTATTAGTAAAAAGGTATGATGTGATATGCACTGGCGGATCCACCTTGTAGATAGGGGGGCAATGGCCCCCAGTCATGTGTTAAAATATTTACAATACCTAGTATAAGATGAAATTTAAAAGTGGATTTACAAGAGGGCTGCCCCCAGTAGAAAAATCCACATGCCCCCATTCAAAATTTCAAAACATTTGTTTTCCCAACCTAAATACCTAAATTGGCAACTCAAAAAAATATATGTAGTACTCATTTTATTTTTACATCTCGTTTTTGTCTTTCTATTTTTTCTGAAAAAGTACGACTTTTATATTTAAAAGTAATATAATAGATTCGATTAAATAAGATATGACAAGATTATTTTATTTTATCAAATAATTAATAAAAATTCGTAAATAGAAAAAAGTTATCAAAAAACCGAAATAGCAATTGTATAATTCTTTTAGGGACGGGGAAAGTGATTAAATTTCTTGATGTTTGTATAATTTCCGTAGTGCAATTCTTTTTTTAATTACGAATGAAGATTTATTTTATCGTTTTCGAAAAATAAAACACTTGTTAAGTACAACTATAAAATAAGATATTTTCACTCTATACCCAAAACAAGATTTCTCTATTTTTATCTTTAAAATAAGATAATTTCATAATTTGATAGTGTAAATTGACATTTCACAATTTTATTATTATTATTATTATTATTATTATATATTGATATTATTGACATTGTAGGTCATATTTAGAGATTAAAACATGAAAGTATTATTTGGTTTTACAACGTCTGTCCCAAAATAATGTTCTCATTTGACTTTAGAGTTAGTTTGTAATTGATATTTGACCATTAATATCTATATTTAATATATAGACATTAATTTTTTTAAATAAAAATGTGACATTTCAATTTTTTTCAAGAGGAATCAAATGATATTAAATTTATTATACTATTCAATATATATTTTTCAAATTGTATGGCCAAAGTTTTTTACTATATAATTTTGACCCTAAAAAATCAAATTAAACGTGAATCCTAATTTGGGATGGAGGGAGTATTTGTTATGTTTTAGTCTTATTTCAGTTATTTTCCAAAGTTCAATTACATGCCGAGTATATTTTTTATTGCTCCACAATTTTAACTTATTTTTTACAATGTATATTTGTGCGGTTGTGCTGACCAAACGTCATGTGCCCCCAGTAAAAAAAATTCTAGATCCGCCACGGGTGATATGTAGGGTATGAAAAAGTAAGGGGACATATAAAATACTCCCTCCGTTCCACAAAACCCTTCATCTTTCGTTTTTTTTGAATTCCCTAAAACACTTCCACTTTCTATTAAAAACCACTTTTACCCTTACTTTTTCATACCCTACATATCACATCATACTGTTTCTCTAATAACCAAACTATCACAACTTACTTTTACCCATCACATCAGGGGCAAAATTGGAAAGTCAACCAAAATTACACTTTCCTTATTTTTACCCAAAGTCAAAAGTGGAAGAGTTTAAAGGAACGGAGGGAGTAAGAAAGTTGAAATTGTTAAGACAAGTATAATACAAATTGTCATTATCTTAAGCTTAACTCTTACAAAAAGAGTCAATGCCAAGTGAAAGTCTACAATAATACACGCCCAAATCATCATAAAAAACATTCTTAGGTGAAGATCACATTGTTGACTTCTGCAGAGACGTGATTATTTTTCTAGCTTAGTCATGAAGTGATATTTGTAAATCAAATTTAGTTGACAACTTAATTACGAGTAATTTTTTTTCTCATTTTTTATTTTTTACTTAAAAAGATTGATTCATTTCAGTCAACCAAGTCTCACTTTATTTCCCATCTTAATTTTTCTTTATCAAATTTACGGTCATTAAAATCAGTCACAAAAGAAATTTTCGTTTCGAACAACGTGTAATTTTTTAAAAAAAATATTTTACAAAACAAGATGGTATCGAATGTCGGGCTAGAAAAGTAAATGGGTAGTTATTTTGTGGACGAAGGGAGCAATGGTGAATATGAGTGTATTATATTCCAAATGGGGTTAACCATTTGACCTACACAAAAGAGAGAAAATATACGGAGTAATACGTAGTACTCCCTCCGTCCCAAAAAGATCGTTACGTTTCATTTTTTTGCGCATCACAAAAAGCAATGCTACTCACATCTAAAATTTCTAAAATTTACCATATTTACTCTTTATTATAAGATGAAATTGTTTTGAAAGTTTTTTTGGCATTTGAGACGATATAAAAATATTTTAAGGGATGCGCAAAGAAATGAAACGTAACGATCTTTTTGGGACGGATGGAGTACAATTTTTTTTCATTCCTTCCCCTTCATATTGACTCATTGAGCAATACAAGCAAATATATACATGGAATAGCTGCTTAGGAGTAATGTCCCAGCCACAAACTCCACAACTACACGTTAACATGCATATATAACCGCATGCACAACTAATAATAATAATAATAATAATAATAATAATAATAGAGGTGACATGCGTATATTATTTTATCTAATTGGTGACAAAAATAGGTCAGCAAAGTGAATAAAATTTGACTCTGTGAATAGTGAACGGAAAATTTATTTTTGGACGGAGCGAGTAATAATAATAATAGTGGGGTTGACATTAGTAATGTCACTGATGTGATAGGTAAAAGTAAGATGTGAAGGATATATTATTAGAGAAAAAATATGATGTGATAGATAGAGTATGAAAAAGTAAGGGTAAAAGTGGTTTTCTAATAGAAAGTGGAAGTGTTTTGTTGGAAGTAAAAAAAAGGAAAGAGGGAGTGTTTTTGAGAACGAAGGGAGCATAAGAAAAAAAATTTGTATGATGAATAATGTTCAGAGAGAGAAGAAAAACATAATGTAAACTACTGATATGTTTCCTTAATAAAAGTGACAAATTTTTTAGGACAAAAAAAATGAAAACAAAACACTACAACAATCCAAGTGCACCCACAATTTTTTTTGAAACAAAGAATAATTTAGAAGACGTACCAGTGGTACGAAATGACACCACAACTCTTTGACTATTTGAGGGTAACTATATAATACTTCCTCCGTCCCAAAAAGATTTACACCTTTCAAAAAAATTGTGTCCCACAACCCATTTTTATTAAAAAACCACTTTACCCCTTACTTTTTCAAACCCGGCCTACCTATCACATCATACTTCTTTCCTAATAATCTACACATCACATCCTACTTTTACCCATCAGATCAAGGGTATTTTTGGAAAGTCAACACAAAATTATTCCTCCCTTAATTTTAACTTTAATCAAAATGTGTAAATTTTTTTGGGACGGAGGGAGTATTATTTTACAAGTGGCTTATTAGGCTTCAGGATCCCACAATCAAATGCAAAGTTCGTATAATTAAAGAAGGTCACATTATTATGGATAGTTACATTCACTACAAATATATACTCCATCTGTCCCAAAAAGATGTTTTAATTTCATTTTTTGTACATTCCATTTAACATTTTTACCCACATCTAAAATGTCCAAAATTTACCACATCTATTCTCTATACTGGGTAGAAATTATTTTGAATATTTTTTTGGTGTTTGAGATGAGATAAAAGTATTTAATTGGGTGTGTAAAAAATGGAACAAGAACATCTTTTTGAGACGGAAGGAATATGTAAATATATAGTCATGATGAATGTATTGGTAGTTGAGTTCATCTATGTTACGTTTTTCAAAAAGATGCATAGATGAACACTACCATGCATTAACACTTTGTCTGTTCATGATTTTTATTCGGAGAAATCTCATTTTTCTCACCAAATAAAAATGGGAAGAATAAATTTTTTTCCCATTTACTTACATTATATTTTGTCTTCTCATTTCGTTTTCCTTTTATTTTTTATCCTTTCTTTTCTTCTCTAACCGATAAGTATGAAAGTTAAAATTATTTTGCTTGCATTTTCATTTCTTCACTCTTTCAAATTTTTTGAACCAAATTTAACCTAACTATTTAAGGGTAAATAGATTTTGGGGCATTAGGGTAAATAAACTATGGGGGTCTAATTAGTCATGCTCCTAATCAATTTGGCAGCCGGCAGAGAGCCCCGGGGGGTTGTCAATATTTGCTTATTAATTGCGACCCCAAGACTTCCATGCTCCTAGTATACTCGTTCCGTCCCAAATTATTTTTCACATTTTTATTACCGAGGTAAAATATCAAGTTTCTTCAATTCATTTCATTTACATATTGGTAAAGAAATAAAAAATAAAAATTGCATATCCAAAAACTACATGAAAAGTTTTTCGAAATAAGAGGTGTCAAGAATATTTTATTTTATCAAATAACCAATGAAAACGTAGAAATAAACAAAAGTTCCCGCGACTGTTGAAAAAGCAAATGTGACAAATAATTTGGGACGGATGGAATATAATACTTCAAACTGAAAAATACAGATCGAGTATTATACTCCTTTGTTCAACAAAATAGTTCATGTTTTCACTTTTACAGGATTTATTTTTGTAATTTGACTTTTTAATTAAATTATTAGCGTCGAAAAGAAAGACAAATCACTTAAATAACTTATTATATCAATGCAAAATGGGTAGATTATATTGCAATGACTTTATTTAGATATATTAGTCACTTTAATAAAGAAAGAAAGTGTTTCGGTCAAAGCGAAAAAATATGAAAGAGGATGGATTTTAGTGAACGGCGGGAGTACTACTCTTCTTTTTCCTTACATTGTTAATGCAAGAAATAAAGAAATTAAAACACTTTTTTTCCAATAACAATTCCAGCAATAAATGTAAACTACAAGAAAAAAACTATAAATAAATAATACAGCATATTAATTAATTATAAACTAGATATAAATATATAGGTTTAGATGGCATTGATGAGGCATCCTGATGATGGGTTAAATGATGAATTCAAGTATGTGAAGTGAGCATTAGCACAAGACAATTGGGCTGCTCCATTTTTGTATCCCAAATTAACATTGTTTAATGTTATGCCATCACATGACTCTTTTGGGCTACAATTCAACTCTATACCCACTTGTGTTGCTGATGTCCCATGAATGTCTTGGAAATTTATGCCACTTATTTTCACACCAGAACCCTAAACAGAAGAAAAAATTAAAACAAATTAAAGAATATGCAAACTTAATCAAGAGCACAAGGTGTGTAAGGAGAATGTGCAAAACCCTAATGATTGTCCTTGTTAAAGGGAATAAAGGGTGAATGAGAAATTGATTTTCAGGGTTAACTCGTTAATAGAAGAATATGTTATGGATTGCAATTTTATTGCACCAATCGTAGCTTGTATTATATTTTTACGTGATTTTTAAAACTATCTAGTCCATTTATATGGAGCTAGTTAACTGGTCATTAATCTCTAATTTTTCAAGATAACTTTGCCACAAAAGCTCATATTTAGTCGCACATTTTAGTTGCCACAACTTATTATTTTCCACAAAAAATTATATTCAGTACGAGTAGCTTAGCAAATTTATGATGCCACAAATTATACTATTCTAGAGCACCCAAATTGACTGGCGTCGTATTATAAAATGAGGAATTTACTTAAATAGCACTAAAACATAATGACTTTCTCTAAATATCACTACATATGTTTTTCTTCCCAATGTAGCGTTTTTAGTCATTATGCATTGGTCATTATTCAAGTAAATATTTGCCAACACAAGACATTATGGACATTATTAAGTGCTATTTAGGGAATAAAATAATTTAAGTGCTATTTAGGGAAATGACTTAAGGTTTAGTGCTATTTAGTGCAAATATTTCTTATAAAATTGGTAGTCATTATTGAAAAAAACTTCCCTTTAAGATTTACTTACAATATTTGATTGAAGTTATTTTAATTTAATTTATTTAATAATTCGTATAAATTTTAGAGAAAAAGAATACATACTTTGGATATTTGAAAATTATATTAAAAAATTAACAAAATTATATATATATATATATATATATATAATAATAATAATAATAAAGATGATAAAATTAGAACATAAATATGTAAATAAATATTTTGATTTTTTGTGTGAAAATAGGGAGTATATAGTGGTGAAATATGTATATGATCTCATCATCAAGGCATGCATAGTAAATATATGATGACCTGGTTAGGGCAACCATTGGGGTGAGAAGGGCAGTAGTTCTGGTCAATAATGATGGGGTTTTGGGCGTTGGACATGACTCCATGCTCAAAAGTGATGTTTCTGGCAAACCCATTGCTTGGCCTTGACCATGTCTTGATCCTAAACCCATTTTGTGTCCCAAAGAATGAAGCCCCACTCACTGTCACATTCTCTACTCCTCCCTCTTGTACTTGCCACCCTAGACTCCCTATGCTGCATGCATACACAAACACGTACGTACAAGCTAATTAAGCTGCTTGAGTAATATAATTGGATAAATACATATGACCTACTCTTTTGAGCTTTTGTGGTGCATGCGTCAAAAGTCAAATGAATGTAGACGTGACGTGTGTCCAGGTTCGTTCATTTTTAATTCATCACAAAATCATAATAATGGTCAGCTAGATGTGAATGGATGGATCGAGTACAATGTATGTACTCCCTCCGTATTGACTCGGTTGTTTCAAACAACCGATGCAAATGATCAGAAGCACCGGTTATTTCAAACAACCGATGCAAAAGTCTCAGTTCAAAATTTTTTACAAAAAATATTTGAAGTTTTTGCATCGTTTTTTTTTGAAAATAATTGATGCAATTGACTAATTGCATCAGTTGTTCTAATAACCGATGCTTTTGAGGCAGTTTTTCTTCTTGTATTTGTAGTAGTGAAGTTTGACCTGATTCCATGCCCCGGGCCGCAAGTGATGTCGTTGATCCACAAGTTGGAGCTCCCCGGGCCGATAGAGATGCAATCGTCGCCCGTGCCAATAACAGAATGCAAGATTTTCACGTTAGAGGACGATTCTACATGAATGCCATCGGTGTTGGGGCTATCTTCGGGAGCGGAGATGGTGACACTTTCTACTCTAGCATTGTTGGAACCGTAGATGACAATGTGAAACATTTGGCTATTTTGTGACTTTAACCCGCTAATTACAATGTCACTTGAGTGATAAAAAGCAAGCGCCTGTATTTATCAAAAAAAAAAAACATACCAAATGTTTAGAATAATAATATAAACGCTTACATATTTTGACTCAAAACAATTCCGTCCTACAAAATCCTTCTCATTTTGATTTTTAAAGTATTTAAGGGAAGTATATTTTGGTATTGGCTTTCCAAAAATACCCTTAGTGTGATTGGTTAATCATTTTATTAGATTCCATGAAATTAAATTTTCATGTAATACTTGAAATTTAATAATTTTATTAAATCAAAATTATTTTTGTATCTTGATTTTAATTAAATTTATTATCCATTTGTAATTAACTAAACATAGATGTTATATTTATTAAGTATTATGCCAATATGCATCTCACTATTTTAAAATTCTTTTTTTTAAAAAATACTTATTTTATTATTTAGAAATGTTATACAAACTTTATAATTAGATTTTTAAAAACCAAAGTTTTACACACAATTTTAAATCTATTCACTGTTTTCTACTTTTATTACTTTTCAAAAATGAAGATTTATATAAATTTTAATAAACATGCATAATTATTAAAACTCGACGTTATTCCCAAAAATAGATATCCTATAAATTTCAAATCAATGAATAATGACCAATGGTCCTACATTAGAAAATAAAAAAACATATGGTCCTATATTGAGAAAGTCATTATGTTTTAGTTATATTTAGGTAAATTCCCCATATATCTTACGGGAGCGCATATACGATTTCCTGCGAAACACAATATAATAAAAACTAGTGTATAGTATGTGTATATACCGTAGTTCCTTGGGGACATTCTTTATTCGCGTGTTTGCATGCCCAAAGACTAGCGCCTTGCCCGTCGATGGTCCCGCCAACAATGGAAACCCCGGAAACGCTATTGAAATTGATCCACGTGCCATCGCGCCCGATTACATTGAAGTCAGAAGGGGCCACAAGGACGCCGTCTATTTGAAACGTTACGGCATTGCTCTTGCATTGGCCTTCAAAAGTCACACTTCCTAGTAAGAACGTTCCCGGGGGCACGTAAATGGTCGCGGCTTCTGTGGACCCACAAGCCGCGGTCCATGCTCCCAGGAAGGCCTTGCTCGAATCCGTCTTTCCGACGGGTACCGCTCCATATGTTAGGACATTGTAGCTATTAGAAATGGCTGCTACTCTTGCTAGAGATGCTATTAGTCTTATGTACATTATAATAAAGGAGAAAAGAAGTAGAGAATGACTTATGGATTTTGCCATAACTTTTTGATAGTAGCTTAGTGTTTTTTTTTAAATACAAAAGGAGAATAATGTTTATGCATATATAGAGTGGATAATAGCTATATAAAAAGGAAACATATGTATGAAAAAATTATAATTAATTATATACCATTCGATCGACATTATTGTGTTGTTGTACATGTTTTTTTGGATCTTTAATCATTTTTCGGATTTGTAACAACTCTTTTCTTTTTTTTACCCCGCAATTAATATATGACTATATATATACATTTTTTAATAAATCATAAATATTATGAACGAGTTTTTCAATTTAGTTAAACTATTTAATTCTAGGCAATATGGAGAGTGATATACATAGGTGGAGTAGTTTAATTATAGTTTATATTGTAAATACTATAAATGTATGTGCATATCCTATGTATTTTTGTGGAATGCTATATTTATGAGAATTTAGCTTATTTATGAATCATTTTCCATATTCTCTCAATGTTCAACTTCATCAACCCTTCTCGTTAAAAACTTTTGATTATTCTAAGCTAATTCTTCTGTACACCTAAGGTTTAAGGTTTCCACTTATTAAATGAACTTTAGTATATAAACATTGTCGATGAATTGGGATCTTTGAAAAAAAAATATCCGCATGTCGGCCTACTAAAAGCGTGAGAAAGTCCACATTTCACGTGTAAAACTTAAGATCATGGAAGTGCATCTCAATATGTTAATATTATTGTAGTATTTTAACTCGTCACACTAACTATTAGAGTGAATTTATTTTTTCGGCTTTATGAAAAATACAGTTTTTCTTCCACACATTAGAGCATTTTCTTTAAGATTGAAAAAATTAATTGGATATTGGAAGTTGGAAAAAAGGAAAAAAAACTAGAAGAAACTATAAAAAAAATTGGAAATAACTAGAAAGGCTAAAATACTGGAGTTTTATGTACACAATATTTTACATATTACAAACAACTAATAAAAAATAAATTAAATAAAAAAATCATTAATTTTTTATAATTTATATTTTAATTATTACTTGTGTTCCTTGTTATCTAATTTTTAACACATTTTGTGGATCATTTTTATTTTTCACAATGTAGTACAGAGTTGTATATATAATTATTATTTTTGAATTTAAAATATTAATGTTTTTCATAGTTTAATTTGAATTTAAAAAATAATTATTTTATTCATAAATTTTGGAACATAGTTTAGTACTCTGTATCATGTGAATTAATTAACGAAAAAATTGAAGCACAAAAAAGGGTAACATGGAAAAAAAATTGAAAAATTGAAATAATTTGTAAAAGATAGTTATGCAAATAACAATAACAAAAACATTAAAAAAACATCATTTTTAGAGTCATTGTTTGGAGAGTAGAAAAAGTTTGAAGAAAATAGAAATAATCGGGAAAACAATAGGAAGATATTAGAAAAAGCAGAAAAACTGCAAGGTTAGGGAAAAAACTAGAACGAGAAAAAACTGGGAAAAAATGAAATTTAATACTCCGTATAATTCTTCCATCACCCTTCCACATACGGAGTATTATTTATAAAAATGATTCAATTATGTATTACTCCTTCCGTCTAAAAATTTCTTTCTCCGTTTGGACTTGAAACGGATATTATGAAAAATTAAAAAGTATAAAGACTTTACATGTTTTGCTCTTGATGTGATGGAATAAAGTAAATAGTGTTGATAAATTTTTAGAGAAGCCAAAAAGGAAAGTGAGAAAAAAATTTAATGGACGGAGGGAGTATTAAACTAGCATTTTAACATGTGCGATACATGAGGTTATACAAATTTTTTTAAAATCTATAGTTTTTCTTCAATCTTTTTAAGGGTTTATTATTTTGAATTATAATTTTTAGGATCCGTTAGGTTTGGAGAGAAAATATTTTCTATAAATTTAAATTTGATTTTTTTACGTTTCATTACATAAGTGGTATATATGTATTGTACTCATAAAAAAATTCTTAAGAAATAACAAAAAATAATGATTTTTCAAAAAAACATTTTTATAAAAAATGGTGTTTTAGAAAAAATATCGGAATTTGGGGGGGGGGGGGGGGNTTTCAAGAAAACTATTTCCCCCCAACTAAATAATATTGCGTGATCTGCGTCCGATTCTTTCGGTTTTTTTAACTTTCAAATTTTTTTAGTTTCATAAAAACTAATTGTCATGAAAATAATTATAACATAAGTTTTACTTTATCTTTAGTACGACGTAAATAACGAATCAAAATCTTTGAATATTATTCAACCAATATTAATAATAATATTTTTTATTAGATGTCATCAAAAGTTGGCTTCATGTATTATCCATATTATTTTTAATCGGACAAACTCTTCTATAGTCATAAGGTCTGCACTCATTTTATGGTTTTTATATTAGTATGTAGTAAATATAATGAATAGATTGAGCTTTAAAAGGAATAAAACATCCCTATATATGTCGACTCATGAAAAGTGTGAGAAAGTACACACATTTCAACTTGAAATTTAGGATCATAGATGCACATGATCTTTGAGTAGTAGTTTGTAATGAAATAAAATAAAGAGTAAATTTCCAAAATAATCCTTTGTAATAAGGTGTTTTTCCAAATCAGTCATCAATAAGTTTTAATTATACTTACGTGGTCTTCTATAATTGAGATTTATTCTCAAGATGGTCTTTCGTAAATAATGTTACTCAAATGAGGATTAATTGATGAGGATATTTTGGTATTTTTTATCCGCTAAATTTTGAAATAATTCTTAAAATGATCATTTATAAAGAAGTGCTTTCCCAAAATGATTTTTTCTAATTAAAGATGTGTATTTGATTTGAAATTTAAAAGATTTTTTTATAAGTTTTAAATAATTCATGAATTATTAATAGTCAATGTATTTTTTCAATTTTACATTTAGTTGTACAGAAATAATTGTTTTGAGAATATACTTTAAATTTGGATGATCAAAATACCAAAAAAAATCTCAATTATTCATCATTTGAGTAACATTATTTACGAAGGACTATCTTGAAAATAAATTTCAATTATAGAACACCATGATGGTAATTAAAACTTATTGAAGACTGAATTGGGATAACACCTTATTATAAAGGACCATTTTGAGAATTTACTCTAAAATAAATAAGTTCTTAATGATATGGTAAATTTTCATATCATGTTGAAAGTTTTTTTCCCAAATTGAACCATAACTATGTGTGTGTGTGTGTGGTATATTAATATTGCAACATACTTCATCCGTCCCTAAAAATATGAGAAGTTTTATTTTTAAGGAGATTAAGAGAAGTGTGCTTTGGTATAAGTTTCCAAACCTGTCATTGGATGTGACAGATAAAAGTAAGATTTGATAGGTACATTAATACTCCCTTCGTCCCTAAATATTTGCAACATTTTCTTTTTTAGCAGTCGCAAGAACTTTTTTTTATTTCTACGTTTTCATTGGTTATTTGATAAAATAAAATATTCTTGACACCTCTTATTTCGAAGAACTTTTCATTAGTTTTTTGATATGTAAATTTTTTTATTTCTATACCAATATGTAAATAAAATGAATTGAAAAAATTTAATATTTTACCTCGGGAATACAAGTGTGACAAATATTTAGGGACGGAGGGAGTAGTGAATACATGCGATGTGATATGTAGGTAAGGATAGGTTAATAATTAGTAAAAGTAAAAATGACTTTTTAATATAAATGTGAATAGTTTTTTGGACGGGTGAAAAAAGGAAGGAGAATGTTTTCAAGGACAGAAAGAGTATTTCTTAAAGATACATAATGTATCATTATAGCAATAATATATCAATGTAGATGAATTTTAAATGAGTTTGATCTATAAATAAAAAATCTAAATTAGATAAAATTAAACAAATATATGTTCAAAAAGTAGCTATGTACTTATTTTTTTCCAATATAGATTAATTTCAAAATAATACTTCCTCTGTCCAGAAATGTTCTTCACATTTGATTTTTCTTGGTCAAAGTTTATAAACGTTGACTACGATTTGTGGAAAAACACATTATATTATGATGTAATTTTAATATCAATGTATTCATAATGAAACGTAGTTTTCAAATATCAAATTTTTATAAAATATATCTATATATAAATACAAATATTAATGGTCAAAGTGCATATTGGAGACCGTGAAAAATTAAATGTGAAGAACATTTCCGAACGGAGAGAGTATACTCAATAATATACTCCGTATATCTTTTTGATAAAATAAAGACTGATAGTCACCAATCTGTTTTTACTCAAAAGTTCAATTTCAAACGTTAATTTCAATTCTACACATATAATAAAAAGATAATGAAATTCTTTGAAAATTGTTCAATAAATATTACGAGTAACCATAATACTTTTATGTTAATTGTAATCAAGATTTATATTTTATTTTATAATTTATGTTATTTCTATAGTTTATATTGGAGTATATACAAATATGGCTGGAGGTTGATCTAAAAAAACATTAATATTCTATAATTTATCTTGTAATTATTTCTATAATATATTTTTAAACATTAATATGGTTGGGCGTTGATCTAAAAAAAATTTATAAAAAAATTTAAATATTTAAACATTTATAATTTTATGAATTTGTTGGACGTTGATAGAAAAAGTCATTATTTTTTCTTAAAATTCGTTCCAATTTCTTTCCATTCTTTCCAATTACTTCTAACTCTTTTCAATTACTTCGACCTGCTTCAAATTCTTCCAAGTGCTTCATGTTTTAACTTTAATTTTACAACCAAAATGAATCGAAAAGAGCCTAATTAATTTGTTCTTTTTATTCAGGTTTGGTTAAAGATGTTATTCAACCAACGAGTAGAAATTCTAAGGATTTCAACCATGTACCATTTTAAAAATTAATGGTGCATTTTCTAAAATTCGAGAAGAAAGCACACACACATTATGAATTGTATAAGGACTAAGGGTGTAGTTCTAAAAGTAGTGACACAAAAACTCTATATTATTATATTCTTAAGGAAAGAATTATCTGTAGTACATTATATTATTGTATACAGAGTATAATTCTTCTTTTCCTCACATTATTAGTACAAGAAAAAAACAAGAAAATAATAATAATAATAATTCAAACAATAACTGAAAACTGCAAATTAAATAAACTAACAAACTATAATTAAAACCAATTATTACATTGCTACATATACTATTATATTTCAAGGTCTCAAAAAACCCTTGATGGCATTGATGAGGCATCCTGATGATGATGGGTTTACTAATGAGTTCAAGAGGGTGACATGGGCATTATTGGCACAAGACATTTGGGCTGCTCCACCTTTGTATCCCAAGTTAACATTGTTTAGTGTTATGTCTTCACATGATTCTTTTGAGATACAATTCAACTGTATGCCCACTTGTGTTGCTGATGTCCCATGAATGTCTTGGTAACTTATGCCACTTAGTTTCACACCAGAGCCCTAATCCAGAAATAAAAAGGGCATTAAGAATGTGTAGACTTGATTAATTAAGAACACAACGAGCCAGACACTCCCTCCGTCCCACAAAACATTTCTTAGCTTGTTTAATTAGTAAGGGTAAAAGTGACTTTTTAATAGAAATGAGAAAAGTGACTTTTTAATAGGAATGATTGGTAGGTTAAGAATTAGTAAGGTTAAAAATGACTTTTTAATAGGAATGAGAAAAGTTTTTTGGGACGGATAAAAAAAAGGAGAAAGGTTTTGTGGGACAGAAAATGCGAATAATGTACAAAAACCCTAGCTAATAATTGACCTTGTTAGGGCAACCATTGGAGTTAGGGCAGTAGTTCTGGTCAATGATGATGGGGTTTTTGACGTTGGACATGGTTCCCTGCTTAAAAGTGATGTTCCTAGCAAACCCATTGCTTGGCTTTGACCATGTCTTGATCCTAAACCCATTTTGGGTGCCAAAGAATGAAGCCCCACTCACTGCCACATTCTCCACACCTTCCTCTTGCATTTCCCAACCTAGACTCCCAATGCTGCACCACAACAAAACAACCACCAAAAAAAACACCTTCATGCCAAGCTCGTTGAATGAATGTGGACTAGGCGTATGTCCATATTCGTTTGATTCTTAACGTACCTATAAGGTTAATTATGACGGACAATTATTACTTTAAGAACGTAACAAGTACATTGTGAGTATTTGTTCAGTTTTAACATTTTACAGTTAAGTATTTTCAATTTAATCTCTGACCTATAATTGGGTAAAGTACATATTACATACTCCTTCCGTCCCACAAAAAAAATTTCATTTTGAATAGTATTTAGTCAAATATTTATACGCTTTGACTACAAATTGTGAGAAAGGTATATTGAATTATGAAATAAATTTTATATAATTGGATTCATCTTAGGACCTAGTTTTGATATCTCAAAATTTTTTAGCATTTCTTTATTTAGATTATATTTAATTTAGGGTCAAAGTGTGCAACAGTTTGACCAATTTATGGTCAAAATGGGAACTTTTTTGTGGGACGGAGGGAGTATTAATTTGATAAAATAATATTTTGAGAGTATATATTATAAAATGAATCTCATAAAATTATTTTGTATCAATATCTAATACTTTCTCCATCCTAAAATGATCTTTCCAGTTCAGTTTACGAAGTTAGACTAAACTTATTTTCAATTTAATTTATTTGATTGTAGTGTAAAATTAAAAGATAAAAATTATATATTTTAAAACTATATCAAAAGATCTACAAAAAAGAGGTGATATGACTATATTATTTTATCAAATAACTAACAAAAATCGATAAAGAAAGTGATTAAAGTTTGACAATGTGAATAATGACTGGGAAGATCATTTTAGAACGGTGGAAGTACCATGTATCTATTTGATTTAATTTGTAGTTAAAGACTAAAGTTAGCTAATTTCGACCAAAAAAAATTAAAAGTGGACAAATATTCATAGACAAAATGAATACAAGGTATTTAAAACGAGTGGGGAGTTTGACCTGATTCCATGCCCTGGCCCGCAAGTGATGCCGTTGATCGACAAGTTAGAGCTCCCCGGGCCGATTGAGATGCAGTCGTCCCCCGTGCCGATAACAGAACGAGATATTTTCACGTTAGAGGATAATTGGACATGAATGCCATCGGTGTTGGGGCTATCTTCGGGAGCTGAGATAGTCACATCTTGTACTCTAACATTGTTGGATCCATAAATGACAATGTGAAATTTTTGGCTGTCTTTTGACTTTAACCCCCCAATAGCAATGTCACTTGAGTGATAAAATCCCAATGTCTGTACTTACCATACATTGCATATATATGTACCAAAAGATCATAACAAAAAAAATGTTACATATATTTTAGTTTTTAAATGCTCTCTAGCATCTATATATCATATTTCTATAAAAATATCATGTTTTCGTCAAAAAATAAAGGACACAATGTTAATTTATATTTATATGGTCAAACTATATTTTCTTTCTTTGTTTTGGATGGAATATAAGAGCATCTCCAACCTTGTTTACTATATTGGCTTGCTATTTTTATATTTTAACAAGTGAGTAGTAATATAACAAGTGATATTTTGTTCTATTCTCCAACCATGGCTTGCTAATCCATTCTACAACTCTTGGCTTCCTAGAATTTGGAGAGCTTGTTATATTTAGCAAGCCAAAGTCATTTTTTGGCAAGCTTGCTAAAATTTAACACACCCATTGGAGAAGAGAAAAATGGGTTGACTTGCTATATTATGGCTTTTAGCAAGCCAAAGTAGGATGATTGGAGATGCTCTAATAATGATATTTAAGACAAGGGGACGATACCGTAGCTCCATTGGGGCATTTATTATTGTTGGATTGTTTGCATGCCCATAGATTAGGACCTTGTCCGTCTAGGGTTCCGCCAACTAGGGAAACCCCGGAAACGCCGATGAACTTGATCCAAGTTCCGTCACGCCCGACCACATTGAAGTCGGAAGGGGCCACGAGAACGCCGTTGATTTGAAACGTCACGGCGTTGCTCTTGCATTGCCCTTCGAAAACCACACTCCCCAGTAGGAAATTTCCCGGTGGCACGTAAACGGTGGCGGCCTCTGCAGACGCGCAGGCCGCCGCCCACGCCCTCAGAAAGGCACCCGACGAGTCCGTCCTTCCGTCGGGGTGGGCCCCATATGTTAGGACACTATAGTTATTACTAGACATGGCTATTGGTGTTGGAAAAGCCCTAATTATTATGATTATGTTCATAATAATAAGGGAGAAAAGAAATAGAGAATAACTTAAGGATTTTGACATTTTTTTTGTTTACTTGGATGGTTGGAGCTTGAAAAGGTTGAAGAGGAAAGGGGATAGGGTTTATGCATATATAGTCCCATGAATGGATATATAAAAAGGAAATATTTGACTAATTGCGTACATGATCAAATTATAATTAATAATTACCAATTTACATTAATTTGGGATTATTTAATCATTTTTCGGATTTGTAATAACTCTTTTCTTAATTTACGCTGCAATTAATATAGTACTATGTTTTAAATAATTCCATAAATAGGACTTGTACCGGAGTATAATTGAACGAGTTTATAGTGAAATTAATTCATTCTAGTTAGGGACACTCTCAGAGTGATATATTTGGTGGAGTAGTTACAAATTATTATTTGTTCTCAAATATTTGTTCACTTTTTATTTTTTTGGTCAAAATTAGTAAATTTTGATCCTAAATTAAACAAAAATGATTTTAGATATTGATACAAAATGGATATTAGATTTATTATATAAAATATTTTCAAAATAATATTTTATCTATTTGATATACAATATACAAAGTATATTTTATTTAACTATACGTCAAAAATTGAAAATAGTTAATTGAAAAAGTTAAAACTGGATAAATCCCAAGATGTGATCGATAATACTATATACGTGCATAATCTTTGTGGAATGTTACGCAAATCTATGAATGGTAAGAATCGTTTGCCGTTAATATTATGGAAGAAGTTTCCTAAAAAAAATACTTCCTCCGTCCTATAACGATCTTCCCGGTTCGCAAAACGAAGAAAAATTCCAAGTTTTTTCAAACTATTTTATTTAAATATTGATATAGAAATAAAAAATAAAACATACATATTTAAAAACTACACCAAAAGTTCAACAAAACAAGTGGTGACAAGAATATTTTATTTTATCATATAGGCCATGAAAAAACACAAATAAATATAAATTCCCGTGAAGTTGGAATAATGCTCTGGGAAGATCATTATAGGACGGAGGGAGTATTATGGAAGAAATGGATATTCTCAATATTCAATATTTCTATAATGGAGTATAAAGATAAATCAAGCAAAAATACACTCCCTCGGTCTCAATTTAAATCAACTGTTTTGGTTTACGATGTTTAATTGAATTCATTATCAAAGTATGATAATTCCACACTGCCAAAAAATGTGTTTAAATTGGTATACATTTCTAGAACATGAGCATAATACACTGCCAGAAAGTGTAGTTAAGTATTGTTAACCATAATAGAAATCATCATAAATAGGACTAAAACATAGAGAAAAGTACCAAAATAGGACTTTCATGTTTTTTTCCCGGAATAGGACTTTGCACTGTGGTAATGTGACTTTGCATTGTGGTAATGTGGCAGTGCACATGTGCAAATTACTATACTTTTTTGGTAATGTATATGACCATGTTTGGTAATGTAAGTCCTATTTTGGGAATAAAAACATGGAAGTCCTATTTTGGTATATTTTCAATGTTTTAGTCCTACTTTGGTATTTCTTCCTAACCATAATACGCTGCCCAAAACATGTTCATAACACACTCAATAAATATGGTAAATGAAATAATTAAAATGTTGCATTATAAGAAAAGAACATGATTGGAAGAGATCCACGCCATAAATAGTCAAATGTGTGAAAAACATTAAAGAGTGTTATATGTGTAATATTGGATGTCTTGGAGTGCTAAATAGGGTGATTTTTCTACAATTATTTCACCTCTTTCCTTTCACCCTTTTTCCTAAAATGATAATTACGTTTTCTAAAACTCATTAATCCAATTTTAGTGTTTGAAACATTTTTGCCCAGATTTAATTTTAACTTAAAATTTACACAAGAGTTTTTTTAAATGTTATTGACTCTATTACAATGTAATATCTGTTTTTACGTTTCTCAATCTAATGACACACAAACCGTCAACGCCTCTGACACAAGAGTTTTGAATGTATGGATATTTTTTAGTAAAATAATAGAGTTATGTTGATTATATATTCAAAATACTAGTACATTACTACATCAAAAGATCTAAAAAGTTGTATGTTCCATCTGTCTCACAAAACCCTTTTCATTTCTTTTTTCATTTGTCTCAAAAAATATTTTTCATTTCTATTAAAAAAACACTTTTACCCCTACTAATTTTTAACCTACCTATCACTTCACACTTTTTAACTATTAATCTATACATCACATTTTCTTTTATCCATCACATTCAAAGATATTTTTAATTTTGGAAAGTGAACACTAAAATACACTCACTTTAAATGCTTTGAAATTCAAAACTAGAAAGGTTTTGTGGGACGAATGGAGTATTATTTTATCAAATTGTCAATGAAAATACGTTTTAAAATTTTATTATGAAACTTTAAAGTACCAAGTATTGATTAGTTTTATTTTTTATAACTTTGAGCTTAGAAAAAATTTAAGAAATATTTTAGTGTTTAACAAATGATAAATATTTGATAAAATCAAATATTCTTGTCACTTCTTGTTTTGTAGAACTTCTGATGTAGTTTTTTAATACGTAATGCTTTTTTTTCTATAATTTTTTTTTAAATGAAACAATTTTTAAAACATGGGGTTTTGCCTCCTAACTCTCTATTTGTAATCTAAATTAAGGAGTACAAAAGTTAGCATTTGTGTAACATATACTTCTTCTGTCCCACAGAATATTACCCATTTTGATGTACCTTTAGTCAAAGAGTTACACGCTTTGACTATAAACTAAATATAATTAATCTAAATAAAGAAATGTTATAAAAATTTGATATATCAAAACTAGATTCTAATAAGATGAATCCAATTATATTAAATTTATATTATAATTGAATATACTTTTCTCGCAATTTGTAATCAAAGCGTGTAACGGTTTGACCAAATATTATTCAAAATGAGTAATGATTTGTGGGACGGAGGTTGTAGTATTTTCAATAATTGGTTATTGTCAATGATTTCTTTTTCTATATCTTCAATACTCCGTATATTAGTAAGTTATTATTATTATTATTATTTGTTTTATAAAAACCAAGAATCTATAATAATAACAATAACAATAGAAATTATCAAAATAATTTAAACTTTTATTCGAATAAGATAAGATAAGGCAAAATAAAAGATTAGGCAAACCAAATAGAACTTTATTGGTATATTAGGTTTATATATAGCCTACCTCAATTCAATGTAATTCTTTTGTACTTGTCAAAGTAAATATAGAGGCTAGAACTGAAAAGTTAAGCCACTAGGAACATATATCCTTCTGTCCCCAATTTGATTACAGGAGAAATTTCTTATTTTTTGAAATTATTTTATTTGGAAATAAGTATATCGATAAGAAATAAAAATTACATATTAAAAAACTACATCAAAAGTTCTACAGAATAAGAGGTGACATGAATATTTTATTACATCAAATACTTAATAAAATCGTATAAACAAACAAAAGTTATTGAGAGAAGAGAAAAAAAATTATACTCAAATTGGGGATAGAGGGAGTATGAAAAGTAATTTTAAGGATGAGCACATAGAACTATAGAAGACTACTTGTCTATGTATATTGATTTAATGCCATCTTTTAAAAAAATATGAAATATTTGCACTAAATAGAACCAAAACTTAAGTCATTTCCCTAAATAGCACTTAAATTGTTTTATTTTTTAAATAACACTTAATAATGTCCATAATGTCTTGTGATGGCGAATATTTACTTGAATAATGACTAATGCATAATGACTAAAAGTGTTACATTAGAAAGAAAAACACATGTGGTGCTATTTAGGGAAAGTCATTATTTTTAGTGCTATTTAAGTACATTCTTCGAAAAATATACTTACTCCATATCATTTTATATTTAAAAAAATGTGTCATTTTTGTTCTTCATTGAGTTCCTAGTAGACCTAGTAGTAATTCATATTTTTATATGTGAGCATTAGTCTTTTTGAGACTGAGTGTTCCAAGTGAGACTTTAATGAATACTTTGTATCTTCAAAAATGATCAGTGTGTCTGGTGTTGCTCCATTTGTGCAAACACATTCGTGTGTGCTGATGTCGTAATCCCACAACCCCGACGACACCTGTCGCTCCGTCTTCTTCTTCCTCCCGCTAACCCAGTTGTTATGGAGTACAAAGCAGCCCTTGATCTCGCAAGCCTCTTTCGCATTCCCCACCTCCTCCCATAGCCCATCGTACGCGCCGTTTGGGAAGTGGTCCCGGTCCAGGAAATGAACGCGAAGTCTTGTTGTGGGCTCTAAGCACCCATCTTCTCCGACGCGGTTTGATCCTCCTACGCCACACAATGTGTCGTAGAAGCTCGGCTGCTCGGAAAGGGTGGATGCCGATGCGTGGATCACAACCTTTTGGAATGCCACAATGGTGGCATTGTCGGAATGGGCGTAGTAGAAACCTGAGTTTAGACGCCCGGGCAAGTTGATTGCTCCTACAAGGATGACAACAAGGTTGACACCGTACCGCAAAGTATCTTCTCATTACTTTTTTTTAACTTTAGAAGATGGGGTACCCTAAGTGAAATTTGCACTAAATAAGACTAAAACCTAGGTCATTTCCCAATGTAAACTTAAACTTTTTTATTTCCTAAATAGTACTTAATAATGTTTAGTGGTAGGAATAATGTACAGTGATGCTGGACATTTGCTTGAATAATGACTAATGGATAATGACCAATGGTCCTAAATATGGAAATAAAAACATATACTCCTATATTGAGAAAGTCATTATGTTTTAGTCCTATTTAGGTAAATTCCTCGTACCCTAAAGAAGTACCTGTAAGATTGTACTCATCAGACTGTGCCACTAAAACTGCAGGCCCAAAGGAGCTAAGAAAGGGCAATGGGTTCTTGAACCAGTAAATATCAACATCACTCATCAATACATTGTAACCCATCTTCAGTATCTTCAGAACCATTCTGGACTTCATTTTGGTTACTCTTTTAAAGCATTCTGTCCCAAAGTGACAATCATCATACCCTATTTTTGTTTCAGTTGATGAATACTTGAACACAGGAAGTCCCTAGTAAAAAAAATAACAACAATATCAATAAACCCAGTAAAATCCCACAAACCGTAGGGTCCAGTACCCGTACGTTCCGATTCACTTAGGGTCCGTTTTGAAATATGGAAAATGAGTTCGGGAAAATGACTCGGGTTTGGTTGTGTGAGAAGCAGTGAAACAAGACACACTACCTGCAAGATGGAGAAGTCATAGGCTTCATTGTCAAGGGCACACACCAAGAAGTTTGTGACTTGCAGATGTCGCATCCGGCAAGCCCAACTCATAAGCATGTCCTTATAATTATACCCAACAACCGCCAGAACAATCGTCTTGTTCTTCTTGTCAGCACAAAGGGAAAGTAAAGACTCCAACGATAGTTCTGGAAGCGAAATGGGTAGTGACCGATTGAGGTTATCGGGTAGAGGGAAGTGTTTAACCCCTTCTTCTGCTGAACCCAAAGAAGTGACTATACATGTAAAAAGTTTTTCCTCTTTTGAGCTAAGATGGATTGCAATCTTTTCTGCAGTGTTTAGGAAAAAGTATTTCCCTTCACACTCAAACAATCCAAAGAAGTTGGAATGTTTTGTGTCATGGAAATACAGTGACCCATAATTTGTAGCAAGAATGAAATTCCCCATAAACTCCCAAGATCTATCTGCACTTAACTTTTTGTGCTCCAAGTCAGGTTGGTGGAGGTATAGATTGGATATGGCATTGCTAGCATCAAATACGAACCGAAAGTCGGATCTAAACGCTTCGTTGATAATCCAAAGGTTGTGGAATCCCTTTTCGTATAGAAAAGGTGGGAGGACCCCATTGTGCAAGGGAATGTCTGCATTGTTCCATGCTATTAGGATTTGTTCTTGACACAGGCTCCAGTTTTGTTCCTTTGAAAGAAACCTCTGCATCTGCCAAAAAGATTGCAATTTTACATGTTGATCATACTAAAGTAGACTAAAGATTACCTGTCCAAAAACAAATCCGTGCGGGTTTGGAAAAAAAACAGAAAATATCGTACCTTTTCAATGTTCACATGTGTGCCATCATCTGTCAACCATTGTTTTCCATCTTCATCCAAACGAAATGGGAAGTCGGAAACGTTACGCGACAAAGCAAAAAGGAGCCATTCATGATCAAGTTTGTGAGCATGTGTTATGGCCGAAATGAAGTCGGGCAAGAGAATCGATTCGGGGTGAATTAGAACAGAAATATCAGATTGGGATGCTTCTGAGTAGGCCATCATAGAGTGGAAGTATGGTGTGCCCAAGAATCTGCACACATCAGATTCTTCATTTTGGCATTTTTAGTTAGTGAAAAAAAAGTGCACATTTAGTCCTTAGTTATCTAACTTTAACAATTTTTAGTCTCTTGAGGTTAAAATTAGCAAATGTGACCACTAATTTCACCCTTCTTCTCAACCCTTTGCTACTTTGCCGAAACCACCTCAGTCTAGCTTTTCACAGCTTATACTCCACAACTACCCCCCCCACCACCCATCCACCCTCCCTTAGATATGTAATGATATTAGTGTGTGTGTGTGGGGGGGGGGGGCTTACGAGAAGTCGATATCGGGCTGAACCGCAACCTTTGAGCCAAATGACAAGGCAAAAGATGAAGCAGAAGGGTGCTGGCTGAACAGCACAACAGCAATGTCAGGTGATAAGCCAAGCCATGATCTGACAGCAAGTTCCTGTCTTTCCCCAACCACACCATGAAAGGGCCTTGGAGCTGTGAAAATGGTGACTTTAGGGTTTCCCTTATCAAGACTACTAGTCCCTAAAGCATTTGCCTGCATCTTGGTTTGGTCTTTCAGAGGAGATGACAACAGAGAAGTTGAGTACAAGGATACTGCCATCAACAGAAACCCAAACACCCATATCAACCAAACCCCTTTCTGCAATGCCTGTCACTCAAATCCACTACAGTCAACATATATACATATACATATACATTAAGTGTCTTTCCTATATGTAGCTTAATGAAAATGCTTTAAACAAAAAATAAAACTTAGGCTCCGTTTGGTACACGGAATTCAAGTTATGGAATTGGAGACAATAATTCTAATTTCGCTGTTTAGTAACACACAGATATGTAGATTCGGAATTGGTAGTGCCAAAAATGAATCGGAATTGGAATGTTATGCTTGGTTCGTGGAATTCGCAAGGGAAGGAACCCTCCTTTTCATCACCAAAATAAAAGGAGAGTTATTTCCCCTCTTCGTAGTTTATTTTCTCCGCTCATTTTTTCTTTTTCCCTTTCAAATTTCTTGAACGAGTGTAAATGTTTATTTTTTTAAAAAAAATGTTTTCAAAAATTCAAATCCTGTCACATTTGTCTGAGCATATTGGTGAGAGAAAACCAAACATGGCCATAATATAACAAAAGTGGAAGGGCTGTGATAAATTATACTACACCTTATTGTTGAGCTTCTTCATTGGAAGAGATGAAGAAGAATATGATTTGTGAGTTCTGGAGGTGTGAAACTGTGAATGCTTGATGAATTGGAGGGTTATATAGTTAAATAAGAGAATTGAAAGTGCCAGAAACATGGAAAAAGAAATAAAGAAAACTAGCAAGTGATCAAATGGCGTGAGGGGATCGGAAGAATTATTATTTTTTATTGATTTTTGTATCATTTTTATTGCTTTTTTTATATCTAAATAAGGTATATAAGTATATAACTCTACATCAAACCTTACTAGGGAGTTTAATTCTTTTTATGACTCAATTCTCAATTCTAAATAATAGATACAAATAATAATTGTAAGAAATTCGCTTTGTCTAAACTCTGAAGCATGAATGTTCTAATTTACGATGCAAAAACTCAAATTGAGTAATCCCCAAAACATTCGGAAAAACAAACTGCGGGTTGAACAACAATAGAAATACTAGTATGAGGTGTCTGCAAAATCCCTTTCCGAATCTAATCTCAAATAAAATAACAATTCACTTCAATATGTTTGGCGCGTTCATTGAACAAACAACTCATTTAACGGTCACCCAAAACGCGCATTACAAAATGATATTACTTTTGCACAACATAAAAACATGCAGTTATTTGAGATAATTATTCCTACATAAACGAGTATATCATAACATCATGAAAAAGTTCATAAATTCTTAGGTTGATGTAAATGCCCCCAAAGAATTTGCCTTTTTACGAGGAATGAACAAAAAAAAGTTGGAAAATTCTAGTGGGTTGTATAACATATAANGCGCGTTACAAAGAAATGTTGGCTTGTTAGGAATCACGACAAAAAATGACATTACTTTTGCACAGCATAAAACATGCAATTATTTGAGATAAGTATTGCTACAAAAACGAGTATATCATAACATCATGAAAAAGTTCATAAATTCTTAGGTTGATGTAAATGCCACCAAAGAATTTGCCTTTTTACGAGGAATGAACAAAAAAAGTTGGAAAATTCTAGTGGGTTGTATAAAATATAACTGTCTAAGAAAAACTTGTGTTATAGACCAATAAATCATTTTCTTTTTGTACCATTCTAAAAACACATATATGCCACAGCTCAACCAAGTATTGGTGGGGGGTAAAAATGACAGCACAATATAACCAAAACTCTTCCACGGCTAACCCGCGCCTTATCACACTTCGCCTTCCCAATTGAAATCTGTGAGCTCTTCTTCGCGTTGCCAATTGAATCATTCCGCGATGATGGACAAACAATTCCACCAATCATGCTGGAAATCTGATAGCTCGCCAGCTTCCGTTGATTTTTTCAACGCAGTCGCATTCATCTCTTCCGCCGGATGGGAGACCTTGACCTAGATCTTGATCTGGACCTCCTACTCCTGCAGTTAAAACTTGAACTAGTTTATACACAAGATTGTATTTTTCATGGACTATTTTACAATTGGCTACTATGGAGTTTCACCTGTCATATGGTTACAGTAGATGATGATGATGGATGAGGGTAGGTTATCCAAAAATATCACGAAATAGACGAATATAAAGAACACACTAAGCAGAATACCTGGTTGGCTCAAGAGAAGAGTAGGGAGAATGCCTGCGCTGAGAGTGCTTGCTACGAGGAGACCTCGAAACTTGTCTATAAATGAAAACATTGCATGCTAAAGCCAGTGAGTTCAGAGCATAAAGAATGGGTTCTTGATGTGAATTTCTCGACCTTGTCTGAAATTGGGGGCTTTGAAAGTAATGCCTCTTCGGATACTCTCTCTGCCCCCATAAAAAGGTTCCACATTTTCTTTTTCTTATGTCCCAAAAAGAGGTTCCACTTTCTATGTATGGAAAATTTCAAGTGGCTTATATTATTTCTCTCCTCGGAACTACTTTCAACAACACAATTTCACCTTAATAACTGTGTCGGTTCCGTTGTGGAACCTTTTCGTGAGACGGAAGGAGTATATGCTAGGTATGCCTCTAAATGGTTCCATTATCTATGCTATTTGTTTCAGAATTTAAGAAAAATATCTCCTAGAAATGGCTGTGAAAAAAACCCATAGTGATCTTGATATATGCTCAGTGCAGCAAATGATAGATCGGACCAGTACCACGCATATAATCTATATGTACATCGGTAGATAATATAATTTAAAGTCTATCCAAGATACTATTCCTAACTCTCAAAATTTAAGACAGAATAAAGTACATAGATCATTCATATCTATAAGCAATTCCAAACAGACAGACAGCAATAGCATCAATGCTGCACCCCATCTACTATAGTACTATGAGAGGCACAATTAGTCAATATCATATACAAAGAACTTAAAAAGAACGCAAGAAAATTGCTGATGATATGACATGCCGGGGTCCTAGTAGTGAAATATCAAGGTTGGAAAAGTAGCCATACAAAACACAATATAATAAAATCCAACTTCTTCACTGTTTCAGGATAGAAACGAAGAGAGATTTTGACAGTGTGGCAAGCCATGGTAGAGACATTTACAATTAAAAAAATCATAGTGCATTACATTAAATAAGAAATAAATATTCGGGTCATCAGAACGTACCTTTTTCTTGCCCTGACTGGTGAAGGTGATCTGCGCCTTCTTGAATAAAGCTTCCTGCAGCCACCCCACGCAGGTGTTGTTAAGAAACATGACATCAATTGCAGATCCAGAGAACCAAAAAATGTAAAGAAGCAAACCTTTTATAATCATCAGAAGATTCATCATTTGAATCAGTGGGATAGCTAACTAAGTTATCCTTGTTCTCTCTACCCCTGCTTCCAATAGAAGAGGACCGTTGTCTCCTGTGTTTGCCAGAGTCACTTTCATCTTTGCGTCTAGATTTTTCTCGCCTTTCATCCCTGTTTTTTTCTCTCCCTTTCCCAATATCACCTTTAGCGCTTGACCTGTTTTCTCTGCCTGTCATCCCCTTGCTCTCTGAGGTATCAATAGAAGCTTTTTTCCTTGAATCAGGCTCTTCTTTTTGTGCAGACTTTACATTTTTATCCTTCACTCGATCTTTTTTATTGTCTAGAACATTCGTTTTTTCGTCCTTGACATATTTATGGTTATCATTTTCTGTCTTGAAGGTCCTGTCCTTGATATTGTCTATGTCCTTGTGTTTGCATTTACTAATATCATCTGCAGTGCTGTAACGAGCACCACTCTTATCTGAGTTATTTTGGCCTTCCCGTATATGAGAATGATCAGGTTTTCTCTTTTTACTATCGAAATTTTTATTTGGTCCTTCAATTTCCACATCCGCTTCCTCAGCAACAGTTTCTTCTGCAAGTCCTAACTTAGTCTTTGAGGATGGTCGAGAATCTTCACGCACAAGTTCAATAGTCGCCCTATCATCACTTGATGGTGTACCAACTTTGTCAAAACTAACAGTCAAAGTATCCGGATTTGTTTTCATAGCATTCTCTACATTATCAGAAATACTACCATCCTTTTCAATTTTTTCATGTGAACTGCCATTCTCAATTGGCTTCTTTCCTTCTATGGGTTTTATTACAATTGACTGCTCAGCATAATTAACTTTATCGACATTTGCATTAACATAACTCTGGATTTCATTATCATCACCATCAGATGCATAGTCTGCAAGACCTAGCACATTCCCAGGGGGGCCAGAGCTACTCTTCTTGCTATCACTATCAGAATTTTCTTTAGTTTTAAATGGTACAAGAACCGTAGCAGAAGCCTTGGGAGTCAGAACATCATGTGCAGACGATGACACCTTATGACTGGAAAGTGCGGAATTTGGTTCAGCTGTAAAATACAAGAATAAAAACTTGTATCAGCGAATACTCAACCAAATTTACTAGAAAATCCAGAAGCTGAAAGAAATAACTCGCATAATGAACCAAAGAGAAACCAACCTTCAAGACTGAGGACATCTTCGCTAAGAACTTTTGTCGCAATTTCATCAAAAAGTTCATCAGTTACCTGTCAACAGATATTAAGTCAAAAATTCTTAAAGAATTGTAATAAATGTACTCATCCATCAGGACCATTGACCAGCTGCAACCTTTAAGAGGACTTCTGTCAAGACACGCTTTATTTCCTGATTTATTGCTGCAGTCCTAGCGGCATCAGCATCATCCTGCATAGAGAAACAGGCATTTGTCCAATCACTTTGACATAAAGAAATACAAATTGAACCGCAGAAAGAAAACTATAGCACATTTCAAGCATCATCTATGTCCCATGAAAAAAAGATAGAAACTGGAATATATCAAATATAAAATGATACTGCAAAGAATTGGCATGAAGACCAAATTAGAAATATTGGAATATTGGAAAACAATTGGACAAATAATACCATGTTTAAAGGATCCCTAGAAGGCTATAAAAGTTCAGCTGAACATCTGCAGTGCCTTTTTATAAGCTCGATGATACAACAACAACCCAGTATATTCCAAACTTTAACAAGCTCAATGATATAAGCTTAAAAAAGCTTAACGGGATATGACATCTCAACTGACTTCTGAAAGCCTTTTCCAGCTTAGTATGCTTATATTTGTGAGAGCGCTTTGCTTAAATAAGATTTAGAAAACCATCTGATGACTAATGTTCATAATAGTGCAATGAGGCTTATGCAGTATGCGGCTAGGGTGTACACCTCATTGCGCAACGAAATGCAGTTCAGTGTAGGCTTAACCAATCATCTGTATCAGATTTTTAATTAAGTTGGGTCCCCTTTTATTAGAGCCTATTTTTTCCTTGAAAACTTAAGGAGGAGAAACTACATTTGATTGGAGAAGATTTGTAATTCTTGGTTTACTTAATGAGGATGAAGGAGATGATTTTGATTGATTTTTAATATTACAACAACAACAACCCAGTTGAATCCCACTACAGTAGGGTCTGGGGAGGGTGTGTATACGCAGACCTTGCCCCTACTCGAAAGTAGGGAGGCTGTTTCCAAGAGACCCCCGGCTCAACCTGCACAAACAATATGGTAGGGAACACAATATTTATTTGTAGTTATTTTGTATGAGTATAAATCTGTACTAAACGGAGGTTTATGCCTCATTGCGCAATAAGGCTTACACAATATGCAATTACGATTATTATTGAGGAGTCATAAGCCCTAATCAGTTTATAGAAGCAGATGAGCCCCAGTAAGCAAATAATAAATTCATCCAAATAAGCATCACATCCCAAATGAATAATTACAAGAAAGTTACTAGCATCACCTCATCATCATCATCCTCTTCTTCGGTAGATCTTGATGAATCAATGCTTTTACTATCTAGCTGATCACCTCTTCTATAAGGCTTGTTAATATCTTCATCTTCGAGGACATCTTCCCTTTGGAGATCAGGAGCTGAGCTAGTGATGACAGCTTTTTTCTTAATAATTTCCTCTCTGAGCCAGTTGGGCACAGAAGCCTAAAATTTCCAAAATTGAAGGTGTGAATAAACAATAAATAGCCTTAACCATTAATTTAATGGTTGGACATAATGTATACCTTCTTAGGGCGGTCAGTGGACATTTCATAGCCATCAAGAGGAAAAGCAATGGAGGTGGCACCAGCAGGTCCATTGTTGATACCAAAGTTGGGGCCAACAGAAGGGACTGTTGAATGAAAGTTCGGTGCAGGTAACCTCCCAAAAACTGGTGCAGGGAGTCCAGGAACTGGAGAAGGCCCTACCATGGCAGGTTCAATCTTGTGCATAACACAGTAATAATGACAGTGAGTCAGTTTAAAACCATACAAAGTTATACAAGGAGTAGACTGCTAACCTATTAGAGTTGGCGAGAGAGAGGGGAAAGATGAATTACCCCAACGGTAGTTGGAGGCCATGCATAAGTAGAAGTCATTTCTGAAGCAGGGTCAACACCATTCAAAGGGCCCACTGAATCAGAGTATGAATAATTGGATGGCATATGCAAACCATGGTCACGATTAACATGTGGTGCAAACTCTAATGGTTTGTCCATTGGGTTACTAGGGGCCTCAGTAAAATGTCCCCCAAATGAGTGATGAGACTCATCCCTCATTGTAGACCTAGGACCAACAGGTGGTGGTGGTTTTATGTTATGCTGTACAGCAGAGGTGACATGTAAAGATTGAGAATTATATGGCCTATCATTTTGATCTCCAGCAAAATCTTCCCCTGCCATTACAGTTACTAGTAAAATGGCTTATAATTGGTAGTCTGAAATGAAATCTTAAATAATTGAATTATTTCAAAGAAAAGGTTGGGAAAGTATCTCTCGATTACAACAAATGCAGTCTTTGCAGTTCTGCAATTCTTTGAATTTCATGATAAGAAGATTCATTCTTGAATGTGGAACTATATAGAGAAGGTTTTTCTCCCATAAAATCTAAAACAGATCCTACCAATATACACATCAAGATAAAGAAGCATGGTACACATGCAAAAAATCCTGAAATTGTCATCGATATAATAAAACTTGCTTTTGTGTAGCATGTAGCAATAATAATGCCAGCTAAATTACACTATAAAAACAAATAATTCTCCCTTGGTAGTAGGCAATTAACAGTGTGCGGATACAAAAAAAATATGCAACTTTAAATCTTGAATCTCAAATGGCTCACTGTGATACAAAGAATGAAGGGATACCACAATGAAAAATGGAGAGGAATTTGGTTAATAGTAAGCTAGTGGCTGGTAAAGGTAAGGAATTCCGGGAAATGAGCATAAGATGTAAAATAACTACCCCAGTCAAACACTTTACCTGCAATAGAAGAATAACTAGAAGGTACCTCCGGCCAATTGGCTAATTGACTTACAGACGAGTTTCCTTGCTGAGGCAATGCAGTTGTTGGATCACCAGTCAAACTTTCATCCCTAGCAGTGTAAGATAAATGCTCATCGTGAACATAAGAAAAGTCTTGCGAGTGACCGATTGGTACATTATGAGAGGGTGCAACTGCATCCGTAAGCTGTTGGTAGCTGGGTGCCCAAACTCTTGGTTTATGAGAATCCTGGAAATGTGGATCGGAAGAATGGGGATACCGGTCATAGTGATTACTTGGGTCTTCATGTCTACCAGCTTGTGTAAATTGTGGCTGTGGGATGTCAGATGCAGCTTTAGCAGCAGCCCATGCCCTAGCCTTAGCAGCCCAATCTTCTTCTTTGTTGTGAGCTAAAGGATAGGACACGTTAAGCACTAAATCTTAAATATGATAGGATATGGAAGTATTCTGAGAGATGCTAGAATTTAATGCATAATTCACTGGGAACTTAAAATAACTGCATCAGAAGATATATTTAAATGCTGCTACATTTCAAACTATAGTTTATCAAAACTCTGAACAATCAGTATAATTTAGTGGGGGGGAGTGTATATTAACTAACCTGAGTATTCCAAACTTTGATGATGTCCCCAGTTTGTATTCCCCCACTCCTGCAAAACATTTGATCAAAAAGGGTAACTCTACAGTTCTTACTCTTTTAGAGAAATACTATAATTTTCTATACTTCATAAACGCCAAATAGGGATTACTAAATGCATACATACCTGGTTTGCGTGAGGATATGCTTGTGGAACTGGATGAGGAAGATTAGGCCGAGGCTGGGGAGGAGGAGGGTAATGATTATGTGGAAGAGGATGGGAAGGGTAAGGAGCGTGATGTGGAGGTGGCGGCGGACCCCACTGATATGGAGGAGGAGGAGGGGGAGGAAGAGGAGATTGATGGGAAGGTGGATGGTACTGTAATTGCGATGGGTACCAAGAGTTCGGTGGTGTACCAGGCGGCATCTGAGATTGCGGCGGCGGTGGCGGTGGTGGTGGAGGATAGTGGGGATCCGTCATGGACGGCAGATGCGGAGGAGGAGGCGGCGGGGGACGGCTATAGCCGTGATGGTGTTGGAAGTCCATGTATACTCGTAATTGATTAGGCTTTAGGGTTTGCGCGAGAATTTACTGCAACCATATATGTTGGTCGGGAATGGGTGGAAGTGGAGGCGGTGACGGTGGTGGTGGTGGTGTAAAGGTAATAGCTGACGCCGGAACGGAAATCTGGTCGCCCGGACTCCGGAGAAGGACAGATTGAGGGACTCCAGAATTAAGGCATACCAGCTGCAGGGGAATGCTTCATATCATCTATTGTATAATTTTTTTAATTATTCTTAGAGTAATTCTTAAAATGGTACTTCATTTCATTATAAATGATCATTTTAAGAACTAATTCTAAATTTAGTGGATAAAAAATATCAAAATAGCCTCAATTAATCTTTATTTGAATTTCATTATTAACGAAGAACCATCTTAAAAATAGTTCTCAATAATAGAGGACCAAGTAGATAATTAAAACTTATTGAAGACTCATTTGAGAAAACACCTTATTATAAAGAACTATTTTGGGAATTTGCTCGTATTCTTATATCAATTTTTAAATAAATTAATTTTAAATTATACATAACTTTGGGTTAGTTTGAAAATAGATTTTTTTATTAGTGTTAACATTTCGGAAAAAAATTTCATAACGCTAACGCTATTCCCAAACAGGTTTTTTACCTCGTAGACGAGAAATTATCCAATTTGGGACGGAGTGAGTAATGGAAACTTAATTTATTTTCAAAACATTGAGCCCCTGCTTGGTACACGAAATTGACAGAATTAGAATTGTATTTGATTTTGATGGAATGAAATTTTTCCAACTCTAATTCATTGTAGGCACTACCAATTCCAAATTTACATATTCTTTTGATACCAAACAGTAGAATTGAAATTATTGTCCTCAATCCCAATTTCATAGTTTGAATTTTATGTACCAAACGGAACTTGAATGATTTGAATGGCAAAGGAAATACCTCAAGTTGGAAGTTTCTCCTATGAATTTTCAAAGAATTTCATTTTATGTAAATTGTGATAGATTCTAAACTTTTTAGCATAAATAAAACTCTGCCTAAATCTTACAAATTTTGCCATATCTTCTTTTTCTCAAAATGTTATTCTTTCCCTATCAATTACTCCGTACTACTCAATTATTATTCCTCAATAAAATACTGAGTAAAAGAAGATATGACAAAATTCGTAACCTTGTCGTTGATGTCACAATGCTCTGACGAATCTAGTGAAGATCGACATTAGGTTAAATGGTTCAAATTTGCCCAAATTTAATACTCCGTAATAAAATACATTAAAATCTATCCAAGCCCACCATGTAAAATCTGACATAATCTTTTAAAATTTGAATTGAATACACCCCTTAAAAATTGTTCTATAAGTGCTTTTCAACAAAATAATGTCATTTTGTTTCTAGTTAGAGCTTTACATTTTCTAAAGAATCTTGCACAACCTCGAACACCCATCGACTATTTACTTCAAGCGACATAATCAGCTTGTCGTTTAGCTAATCGCGCATACAATCCGTCACTTTGAAGAAGCTCCCTATGGCTGCCAATCTACATGGATTACGTGTTTCAATCAATTACCTCGAGAATAAGGTTTTTTTATTAAGACGTTTAACTAAATAGTAAATTCCACAAATGGTCGTTATAAGTAAAAATATTCCACATTTAGTCCATTACAGATTTTCATTAGTTTAGTCCTCTCTATGTCTTGGATGACAACTTTTAAAGTCCTTAAAATTTCAAAACATTGCTATTTTTAGTCCTTCAATGTATCATTTTGAGGACTTTTGATGAAGGGAGGACAAAATTTGGGAATGTTTACAATTATAGACCTCCAATCATCCAAAGGAATTTCATAAACTAGTTGACTAAATGTGGAATATCCCCAAATATAGATTGGACCATTTATGGAATTTACTCTTTAACTAAATTTTATCGGAGTGCTTATTACCTCCATGACATTTCCATTATCCATGACCACTATCTTGTCAACAGCTTGAATCGTAGAGAGTCTGAGGAAAGACGTTCGTTCATCAATGTGTTAGTTAAAGAGTATGAAGCAAGAGAGAGAAGTAGAGAGAGAGAGCAGTCACCTGTGTGCAATCACTATGACGGTTCTCTTCGTGTTCAAGTCCCTTCTCAATGCACGAAGGACGTCCTGAATGCAATGTAAAATTTTGACAGGTCTAAAAGCTAGGATTACAAAATACAAAAAAAAAAGATCTTTGAGTGCCAAAAAAATGAATGAATACCTTAATGTGGTGCTCACTCTCCGCATCTAGAGCACTAGTTGCTTCGTCAAGAATCAAAATGTCTGGGTCCCGAAGAAGAGCCCTAGCAATTGCTATTCTTTGCTTCTGCCCTCCACTCAGCAGCTCATCATCCACAAGAGTTTGGTAGCCGTTGGGGAGAGACAAGATGAAATCGTGAGCGAAGGCCTGTTTGGCAGCCCATTCCACATCTTCTTGGCTAACATTTTGTGTGCATCCGTATCTTATGTTAGAGCTGATATCAGTGTGGAAAAGCCGAGGTTCCTGTCAAAAACACCCAACAACAACAACAACAATTATTATTATTATTATTATTATTATTATTATGCTTTTTTTGCAGAATTTAATTGAATTTATCCAGGTGTGTTAGATGGAGAACCTGTCCCACATAACCAATCCGCTCTCTCAACCCGTTAACGTCCATATCTTTGACTGGGTGCCCGTCAATGTGTACCTGTCGTTACAATTCATCAGGCAAGACAAATCAAGATAAACCCATTTTTTTGTTGCATAAAGTGAGGATATGGCCACGAAAAAGAATTGGAAAGACTAACAAAATCCAAACTTTGAACATACCTGGCCTGTTGTTGGCTCATAAAGGCGGAGGAGAAGGCTGACCAAAGTGCTTTTCCCACTGCCACTAAGACCAACCTATGAAGAATTAAAGTTAGCTATTCAAAAAGTGTGGATTGGAAGAACGGTGTGGCTGAAATACACAAAATCTTAGAAGAGATGATGGAAATGCTTACAATCGCTACAACTTCACCTGGATTTACTGTGAAGTTTATGAGTTGGAGTACAGGCATCTGTTTGGTAGTCAAAAGATCAGCTAGTAAACTTACACCTAGTAATTGAAATGAAACAGTATATATACTTTTCTGTGAGATTTTACTGAGTCTGTCATGTTGCTTTTCTAGTAGTTGGAAGACACGTACCGTTTCCCTAGTAGGATAGCGAAAGGTAACGTTCTCAAATTCAATGTGCCCTGACAATCTCCGTAGCTTTGATCCTGTTGCGTTTTCACATCCACCAAGTTGGAGAATGAAGAGGTAAATAGGTAATAACTTCACCATTTGAAATGTATGCCAAGAAAAAAAAACGAAACACATTCAAAATGTGAGAAAGTAAAGCTTTGCAGACCTTTGGCAATGAACTGGCTGCTGGGTTTAAGATCCATCAAGCGAAAAACCTTTTCGCTTGCTCCAACAGACTGCATTAGTGATGAGACATTGTCCCCCACCCACCATGCAGAATAGATAAGCCACTCACTATATAAGATGAATTTCGTAAGTTCCTCTGCTGTTATACGCCCGTCTAGAATGAACATCCCTCCGATTAGGACAGCAATAACCTATAAATAGATTTGCTAATACAAAATTATTTTTTTTGTGGGAACACCAACAACAAAACCAGTAAGATCCCGCAAACAATAGGGTCTTGGGGAGAGTGTGTGTGCATAGTAGAGAGGTTATTTCCAAGAGACCATGACTAAAAGTTTGTATTTGTGTAAATTAAAAAAAAAGTGTTAAGGGTCCTTCGAATAAGGACACCATGCTCTTTCCGCTCCTAAAACAATCAAATTGCATTTAACATTTGAACCACTAGTACTTTGTTTATGAAGGCAATAAGGTAAAAAAATGTCTTAATAGATTCTGACCTGCATTGAATGGTAAAGAGTATTGAAGCTAAAGCTCCAAAATCCATAGGCAGCACTTTGTCTCAAGCTTATATCAGCTAACTTACCCAGCCACTGCGAGTATCTGGTTTTTAAACAAGGCCATACTCATGAGGCATGATTGTTCTATGCAAAGTGAATAAACGGGTAAAGTTTTAAGATGTCTGCATCTTTTCCCTTTTAAACATGAAGGTTATATGCATTTAAAAACACGCAGTTTACCTTCCAAGTTCTAGTTTCTCAGTTCCATACACTCGCACGGTCCTCATTAGAGAAAGAGTCTCTTGAGCAACCTAATGTAATACGAAAAGGAAACTCAGACTTTCACACTTTCTGAAAAAAATGAGCACGTGAAAATCTCAAAATTACCTCATTTGAAGAAGCGGTGTACTCTTGAACCAACTTAGCTGCTTTCTTTTGGTACCTATAGAGTGAACAAGTTATAAATAAGGAAGGTTCAGCTTGCAAAAGGCCAAAATATAAATGTATAATAGTGCTATTTTTCTTTGCAGGGTGGGGGGAAGGAAGAACGAAAAACGCTTAATTTAAGAAAACATGCTTTCATGAGTTGGGGGACTCTTGGAAAAAGCTTCTCTACTTCCAAGTAGTGGTAAGGTCTACATACACACTACACACACCCTCCCCATATCCTACTTTTGGGGGATTCTATTGGGTTTTGTTTGTTGTTGTACACATGTTTTCATGGATCACAGGTTGTACTCTCTTTGTCCCAAAAGAAACTTCTCATTTGCTTTTCACACACAAATTTATAAAGCAGAATCGTGTGTGAGATTTACTTTGAAATGCAATATATAAAAGAAACCACGGAATTCATTCCCAGAAGTATCACTATTGGTGACTCGGCGAGGTCGGCCTCACATTTGTATGTGAGTTCATGGCTCTTTAGATGTCCAATGTCAAGCACGAAAGAACATTGTTAAGTAGTCATGCAGTCCCTTTGATCTCGTCAACATAACAACTTAGGAAAATGATTGTAATGTAAATTATGTTACAGAAACTAGGAAACTTTACCGTCCATATAATAGCATTAAGACTGATATGGTAGAACATATGGCTAATGTGCACAAGCCAAGCGGCCATGACAAAATCAACAAGTAAACCAGAGCACCAATTCCCTGAAGATTTGAAGAAATGATGAGATTTCCCATGATAAACCTCTAGGCAAACTCGTGAAGATTTTTCAAAATTAGTTTGGAAATATAACCTGAAGCAGATTGCGAAATATCATATTAAGGTCATTTCCAATTACACGTGACACTTGCTGACAATCTGCACCAAGCCTACTTGTCAAGTCCCCAACCGTTTCGGTGTCAAAAAATGAGATATCCTACAAATGAGGTGGCTTGCAATAAAAACTTGTACGTAATTCGCAATTCATTCTAACAACACAAATGTAAGGGAACCTGTTTTTTGAGAAACATAATATTGTCAAAAGGAAAAAAAAACCTGAAGAAGAAGAGTGGAGTATAGTTTTTCTCTCATTCTTGTGACCTGCAAAATATAATAAACTATTATCCACGCTTGTTAGGTATTTATCTTTTCTTTGGGAATTAGTTTTTAGCAACAAGAAGAAGAAGCCCAGTAAAATCCCACAAAAAGTAAGGTCTAGGAGGGTGTGTGTACAAAGACCTTACCGCTACCTACTCAGAAGTAAAGAGGTTGTCTCCAAGAGACTCCCGGGTAAGAATTGAAATGAATTTGTAAAGCTACTCTAATGTGGTTTGAGGGTGGGCATAATATACGCGACCACACCTCCATTTGCTAAAGTAAGTTTTAAAACAAAAACATCAACAACATTAGCTCGGTATGCCAGATATAAACCAGACATATTTTGACCAATTTTTGAGTTCTTGATAGAACTGAAGAGAACATCTATAGTGAGTATGCATGAGCAACATAGAGTATTCTAGTCCAGGAAACGATACTCACCAGGATCATATTTGCAATGCCAAAGAGACAACCTCGCAGACCACTGTTAATAAGAGCAAATTAATAGGCATATAAGAGAAGAAAGAAAAAATCAAGAGAGCACATTAAGCCATCCCCACGCCAGCAGAATATAAAATTAAAAATACTCCGTATAAATTGAAATACTCCCTCCGTCCACAAATAAAGTTCCCATTGCGCGTTACGATGTTTGACTGAAATTATTTTCAAATCATTTTATATGAAAAATGGTATGGAATTAAAAAATAAAAATTACATATTTAAAAACTACATGAAAAGATCTATAAAACTAGAGGTGACATGACTATATTATTTTATCAAATAAGACACAAAAATAGCCCAACAAAGTGAATAAAGTTTGACCCTGTAAATAGTGAACGGGAACTTTATTGTTGGACGAAGGGAGTATAAAGTATTGAACTACTCCTATTACGTTGGCCTGTCCGGAAGGAATCATCCGTCTTAATATTGCAAACCATGGGAACACAATGGGAGAGTTGAACTATTTGAACTTACAGAAGATTTAACAAGTTATGTTTATGACCACATATTTCTATATAAAAGAAAGAAGTTGAATGGAGCTAAAAGGGTGACTATTGAAAACGATTTAGCTTTGGGCACATAATGGACAAAATAAAAAATGACACGTTAAACTTCTCTTGCTTCTTTCTTTTTATGAAGTTTTGGGCAGTAAATGCATCAACGCATCTGGGTTCTAACGGAAACATCATCTCTGTTTTTATAGGTGTAAGATTACATACATCTTGACCCCCTAGACCCCAATGAAGTTTGGGTTATACAGGATTCTAATTTTTGTTCTATAAAAGAAGGGAGCTTTCAGCATACAAAATCTTGACCTGCAAACTCCTGCAACTATGCACAGCACGGCCAAGAGGCGTACATTCCTGTGGAACACTGGAATGCTGCTACTTTGCGCTGAAAAGATTGATGCCGTCAGAAAATGTGGGATTGAAATCTCAGATAACTGATCACATCAAACCAAAAAAAACAACTCAGAAATCAATGCTTGGAAGAAATAATACTCAATCCAATCACTTCTTCAATGTTTTTCCAACTGTTCACATGAAAGCTCACAAAATCAAGATCTTCTTTGCAAGTCTAGAGCTTTAAAATAATGCAAGGTAAAATCAAAGAACATACAGCAGTTACAACAAGTGCTGCAAAGGCAGAAAATATGAGCCACCTATCTTCAGCAATCAACTCCCACATCCTCCTAAGCGCCCGCACCACAGTCACCGGCTCCGCCGTCATTTCCGCATCCACCTCCTCCGGCGAGAGCCTCCACCAGCTTCCGCCGGGAAAAATGTCCCGGACGAGATGAACCCATTTCCGGATTTTCCGGCCCGACTGCGAATCCCGCTCTTCCAAAGACAGGTCTTTTCCGCGATTCCGGGACGAACAGCCACTAAGGGAAGCAGATGTCGCCGGAGAAACATACCCAAAGCGCTTCTTGGAAGAATGTTCTGAAAACAAGAAGTGGGTATTCGATTTGGTGCCGAATTTCAATCTTTTAATGGGATTTCTAACTGGGATTCTTCTTTGCTGTACAAACAGTGCAAAATGGGGTTGAAGGCTGCAAGTAGCCAAAGACATGGCCGTCAAGCATCAATCCGCAAGAGTAGGATGATAGTCCGACAGTTGGTTCTCATGTCAATTTAAAAATTTAGATTTATACTATCTCCGGTCTCACTCTCTTTGTCCACTTTTGACTTTTGGAACTGTTCATCTAAGCACTTTGACTCATCAAATTCTCTTAATGTGTAAACCTAAATATAGTCATGTGAAATCTTGTTTGATTTGTCTTAACATATAGAGTATTAATATATAATTTTTATAATTTTTTAATATACAAATTACAAGATAAAATGGATTAAAGAAGTGCATTGGATGGTGTGTAAAAATGAAAGTGGACAAAAACAGTGGGACGGAGGGAGTATTTGTTAGGGGTGGACAGTGGATACGGTAGTGTTCCAGGACGGTTCCGTTACCGCCATCCCAGGTATCGTTACTGTCACCGATTCGGACTGTACCATTGCTGGTATTAGTATTGGCGGTTCCGTTACCGTACCGGTCGGTTTCGGCCACCCTCCTATTTTTTTTAAATTGTTAGTAGTGTAGCTGTGTAAGTGTTAAAAAAATAATGAAATAAAATATCTAAAAATGTAGTTGTTATTTAAATATTAAAAAATGACTAATACACGAACAACTACATTTAATAGTCGTGTCAATTTAAAAATTTAGATGTATATTAGTACCTTTTCCTCTGCAATTATCTTCACTCTAATGTTTCCATACTTTTTTACATGTGTATTTTATTTTATTTTATGGAGTATTATTGCATTAAATTAAATATTTTTATCACGTTTTATTTTTTATAATCATTAATGATAAAGTAATAAAAACTATAGTGAAATCTCTATCAAAAGGGACGTGAAATTTTTACAATTATTAATAGATTAATTTACCTAAATAGGACTAAAACATAATGATTTTCTTAATATAGGACTTTATTTCCCAATGTAAGATAATTGGTCATTATCTATTAGTTATTATTTAACTAAATGTCCAGCATCACTTAGACATTATTCTTCTCACTAGTCATTATTAAGTCCTATTTAGGAAATAAAAAAGTTTAAGTCCTACATTGAGAAATGACTTATGTTTAGTCGTGTTCAATACAAATTTCACTTATTTATTAATTAATAATCCAATTAAAATACGGTCAATCATTAGTAGAGAATTTGTTGTTGGGTACGCTGCTCATAAGTGACTTCCCCATCCAGATCGGGCCAATGACTGTAAGGGGCCCAATTATATTTTAATATTATATGTGTATGTATATAAGAAGCCCAGCACCCAGCCCAATATGTCAAAAGCCCATCTCATTAGCCGCCCCACCCCCAACTAACGCAAACCGCAGAGGCCCTGGAAGGACGAAGCCTACTGCCGAAACCGAACCGGAAAGAGAGTGCCGACTGCTGAGAACGCCGCCGGTAGAGAGACGCCGCCGCTGCACCCTCCAGGTATTCCGTATTCACTATCTTTCCAATTTAGTAATTTTTTTTCTAATTTTCTTTCTCTCATTGTTTCATTCTTTGGATTTAAAATCTAGGGTTAGTTATTAATTTTTTAGTTTGAAATCTTTGCTAATTACCGTGAAATATGAATGAATTAATGGTTCCATATATTCTTTATTTGATTTGGATGAATTGATTTGAATGTATGATATATATAAAAAAACTCTGAAAACTGAAAAAAAACTGACAAATTGACATGAATTTAAGATATATATAAAAAGACTGAAAACTGAAAAAGAAAAAAAACTGAAAAAATGACGAATTGAATCAATTGATATGAGTTTATGATATATGAAATTATTTGCTTGTTTTTCAATATTTGATTTTACTAAGTAGTAAAATATATGAATTTAAATTTTATTTCAGAAATAATTCAATAGTTATGACTCCTAAACATCTATCTGGTAGTCAAAAACGTAAAAAGAGAAAACGAGATGAAGATTGAGAAAGTCTCAAGCCGGATAAGAAATGTTATGGTCATTTATTTATTTTCTTCTAATGATATTACGTTAATTATCATTTATATATAATTAGTTTACATTTGTTAATTTGTTAGACTTAGGGATAAGATATACTATCTCCGTCTCATTTTATAACGCCTGTTTCGGTTTATCATGTTTGACTGAAATTATTTTCAAACTATTTTATATGACAAATGGTATAGAATTAAAAAATAAAACTAGTAGTGACAGTAATATTTTATTTTATCAAATTACTAATGAAAATAGAGAAAGAAAGAAGGTGAATGAAGTTTGACCCTGTGAATAGTAAACATGCATTATAATTTGGGACGGAGGGAATAAGACTTTATATGTATTTATATGTAAAATGGTTTTTTCAAAACACAAAATTTTGCTTCATAACTCTCAAGTTAAAATTAAATTAATTTTAATTAAAACTAAATTAATGTTAAAATTAAAAATTAAATATAAATTACAAATTGTGAAAAAACTGTGGAATGGGCTTAAATTAAAAAATGTTGGGTCCAAATGTCATGGCCCAAAAGTTAAAGAGTTCATCTTCTTTTTTATCTTGTCCTTCGTTCCCATCAGCCTCTTCCAGCGTTCCTCTTTCTGCGTCGACCGCCATCACCATCCTCCTCGTCGTCGTTCTCCAAAAACCAGAACAGATCTTTCTCTGGTACGTTTCTCTTATCTTGTTCTTGTTTGAGTTTAGTTTTCTGCAAAAGTTTCTCAGCTAGTCTTATGGTTTTAGAGATTCATTTTACTGAAGTTGCCCAATGGTTTAAGTGTTGAACTCTCCGAAGGGGTGAATTGATTCATTCCTTGAATAAAGGTTACTGCTTCGACTTTTCCTCTCAGTTTTATACTCTAACAATGAGGAAAGGTACTTTGTATGTTGTATTTTCAGTATGCAGTGTTCTATCAAAGAACAATCAGTACTGTTTCACGGTCTTTCTTCTCTCATTCTATTTTTGTCTGAATAGGTTTCAGCACTGTTTTTCGTAAGCTAATGCAATTTGTTTTTAATTCTGATTTTGATTGTTCAATCAAAAGACATTCAGTTTGGAGTGAAAAACATTATATTTTATTTTGTTATTATTGTTCTTAGAAATTATTGGATGATATTTTGTACAACCCATATAAATATATAGTTGAGTTTTATTAACTATATGCTCCTCGAATCCATGCAGTGTGCACCTTCTTCTCGCACTTCAAGTTTTAATTTTGTAGATATTTTATTTGCTCATAGCTTATATGGATTGCACCCCGTGACCTAAATTTTCTTGGTCCGTCCCTTAAAAACTTAATTTTAGGCCTTATTTTTTCCTTTTTTATGTTTATTTTTATCCTAATTCTTCCTAGCTTGTTTTGATTTTGGACTTTTGGTTACATGGTTGAGCTTGCCAGATAAACAGTGGAAGCAATGGATGTTGAAGTCTCCACCCTTCCACCCATGGATCTCATGGCGGTCAGAGATTCCACAAACAATGTCATGTGTCGGCTGACCGACCCCAATGGCAATCCACTTGGAGCTCAGATGTACCTTCCTGAATCTGCTGGCCCCAAAGAGCTCAATCAAATGGTCAATAAGCTCCTTGACAATGTAGGTGGAAATCAGATTAACTAAGTGAACTTCAAATAATACCATATTCATTTTTTAGTAGTAGAAGTCTCAAACTTGGTACTTTTTGTTCTTTAAGTTTAGTTGTACACAGAAAATGGTTATGTTCAAGTGGAAACAACCTCTTTACATTATAGTAAGGGTAAGGTCTGCGTGCACACCCTCCCTGGACCATACTTACATGGGATTCTGGGCTGTTTTTTAATACAATGGCCACTGGGGTATGTAGCTGTTTAGCTATCTGTTAATTCACTTAATTGCATGGCGTAAGAATTTTAACATTCCCCCCCTGTGCCTTTTCATGTTTTTATGAACTGTTTATTGAAGTTTAGAATGTAAGTTGCTATTACACTAAGAGCTTGGTTGCACCCACTGACTTTTCTTATATTTAGGATGAGAAATTGCCATATGCATTCTATATCTCAGACCAAGAGCTGGTGGTACATCTTGGGTCATATTTAGAAAAGAAAAAAGGTAATTGGATCCGTGACTGAATTATTCAAACTATGTCCCTGTTTCAGCATGAAGTAATGTAACTAGTAGCTTGTGGCATGTTACCCTAAATTGACACTTTTGATTCATGAACTTATTTGCAGTTTCGGTAGAGAAAGTATTGACTATAGTATATCAACCTCAATCAGTTTTCCGGATCCGTCCTATAACCCGCTGTTCGTCAACAATTGCTGGTATAAAATTCTCTCGATTTTAATCACTATTGATAGTGAAGACATTACTTGCGTGATTGGAATAGACTTGTTTTTTATGGCTCACTAAGTCTCTTTTACATTGACTTGGTGGCCATAGTTATTTACAATATACAAACGTCTTTATCTTTGCATTTATATGAAGTTATGCACTGCATTGCATTGGTAAATTGCAGGGCATGAGGAAGCTGTACTTTCAGTGGCCTTCAGTCCTGATGGACAGCAGCTAGCGAGTGGCTCAGGTGATACCACGGTTCGTTTATGGGATTTGAATACTCAGACACCGTTGTTCACATGTAAAGGTTAGACTCAAAATATTTCCCAGGCCCATTACAAATAGTACATTTCAATTTTCAACCTTGGGGTGCACTAGGATTTTCTAGGAATTCCTAGTCTAAATCATGATTCTTGTTTGTTTACCAGCTAATGGATCATTGCAAGTTGATAGATATTTTATGAGCTTACTGATGTGGTAATATGTTTTCTCTGCAACTAGGTCATAAAAACTGGGTTCTTTGTATTGCATGGTCACCTGATGGTAAATACCTTGTGAGTGGAAGTAAAGCTGGAGAGCTTATATGCTGGGATCCACAGACTGGCAAGCCTTTGGGCAGTCCTCTTACTGTAAGTCTCAATTTCTGTGCCTCTGTTCAATCTTAGTGATTACCACTAGGCACCAGCTCGCCTTGTCTTTCTCTCATGTGCGTGTTTTTCGTTAGTTTTTTTACTCCATCTTGCACAAAATAGTTGACAACTTAGAAAAGTGCACACATATTAATGAACCTTACAAAATGATTCTCCTACCCTGGTTAAAGTTTAACTTTAAATGCAGTTTTTGAAGTAAAGGATCTAGTGTAGGAAAAGTTAGTATGGGCACATTTAGAAGATTTGTACATAATATACATTGAATTTCTAAAACAATAATTATT